TACATTTCCTAAACTTGTTGGAAGCGCACGACAACCTCCATACGCTCCGCAAGATCGTCCATGAGAGCCAGCCGTTATGTCAACAAACGCACGTGCGTGTATTTGAATCTCTCACCAATCGCATGATTCTTATTAAAAAACTTCCATAATAGGCAGCAAAAATCCCGTTACCTAAGTTCTTTGCACTTTCAATATGGCGTAGATGTATATTTTTCAAGATTTTTAAACAATGCCATAATGCCATGTAAACGATTTAAGCATTACTCGACTATTTTTACCAAAAGCAACGCAGTCATTTTACGCGCGTTCTGATTGGTTTGTCGTATTTTCTCACATAACAAGCATCAATAGGGCGAGACGAGTCTTCTGGAGGTTGGGCGAAAGAGGCGAGTGGGTGACGAATGTGGCGTCTGGGCAAGATAGCATTGTTATTCCAGGTCCCGTGGATATATACATTTACGACAAAAAAGCGGGACACAGGATCGTTTTTAAGTTTGAAATTTGAACTGTCCAAAATCGAGTGGCTCCACGAGTCAAGGTCTTTAAGCAATACGACCTCTAATGAAAAGCAATGACTGAAATTCTCTGGAGCAAAAATTTGAAATTTGAGCTTTAACTCATTTGTCCAAGACTGACTTTGAATTATGTTATCATTTCTGATACCACATGGTATACGGTAGAAGCACAGGGCTTCGGTGGGTCGAGGAGCACCATATCTGAATCTAAAATTTCAAACCATCAGAACTGGCAGACATCATGACGCATCCACCTGCAAACAGATGCTAAATTTGGTCGCCTGAGGACCTTCTTTCTATACTGGTTCCAGACTCAGAAGAAGTTATCACCATTACTTGTACTGGTGACAAAGTGACAGTACTTACCTCTTTGCCATGAATTATGTTTGTTTGTTTGTTGTTTAACGCCACATTCCGCAATATTACAGCTATATGGCGGCGGTGCGATCGATTATAGCATCAAATGCTTTGACCATATTTCGAAGATGTCATGCCATGCCTAAAGGTTTCAGCGCTCCTTTGATTGTGTAAGTGTTTTTTTTTGGCAAATGTTTTTCCACAAACATAAGACAGCTTTCAATACCCTCCTATATAGTCTCTTTGAATATAATTACTTTACCATTTCTTCACTTGAAAACTACAATGTCATTTCATCAAACCATTTCAAAGTTAATAAAAGAGATGGGTTTTGTTGTATATTCATTAATAAAATGATATATGATCATATCTTTTTCAGAAACCTTTTACGGAACATCACCTCAAGTAGTACAGGTGTGTACAAAAGGTCAAAGAAGTTGGACTTGTTTCTAAACATAGAGACGTAACTTCACAATAAAACAATTTAACTTGGGCAGATGTTCTGCAAAGATGGTATTGATTGATCCTCAATAAATCACAGATCCCGCATAAAATGAGATCCACGACGTTTACAGGTCGTACTTTTGGTCTCATATATTATTGCAAATTCTGAGCAACCTTGCTGGCATAGCCTCCCTCCTATATATCCTTCTTAAAATAGAAGATGTTTCTTTCAATTGGTTCAACAATTAACAAGAGGCAAACATCTGTCATTGCATTGGTGAATCGCCGCAAATTCATTCTTCAACATTATACTGGTGTACATTTTGGCCAGTTTGATACTCTCTCCAGAGATCGTGTGTTATGGGATTGTCAATGTTCCTGTTCCTTCACAGGACATGTAGGCAACCTAAATACCCATAATGGTGTCAGGGCATATCCTATCAGGAACCTCCCCTGTTGTACACATGCAACACGATTGGTACTTGCTGATGAGTTCTTTTATGCATGACGCAGTGTCTCTACTTTGACTGTAAGGCCACATTGAACTACCGGTAACTAGGCGGCTTGTTCATTGCAGAAAAGTTTATGTCCTTAAAGGTATATTAAACTCGTTGTATGTTAAATTATGTAGATGACATTTGGTAAATTTGACGCATCATTGAAAATATGATACCGGATGCAATTTTCATATTTGGATTTATGGTTCCTGCAGTTTTTAGGGTGAGCATCTGATATAGCCGGTAAGTAGGTCATTTACGTTGTCATTGTCTTCGGTGACAATACATAACGTATTACGGCAATGTCAATAGCAATTGCTACATGGCAATTGACGACCAAGGCTAATCATACTGACATACGCTGTCTGACTACAAAACTATCACATGTTACATGCTACAAAAACACTTGGACTGGGTAGTTTGAACAGCACGTTTATATCTGCTTGTTAATGCAAAGAGTATCGTGTAGTTTGAATTATCGGCAATGTACATTGAAATTCAGTGAATCAGTCTAAAAAATAAACAATGTAATAAATTTGATAACTATAGTGTGTAAATAGTGTATGTGAAAATGGTTGGGCTACATCACTGAGACACGAATAGGCATTTGCACACTCTTCATTAGGACTCTATTTCTTTGTGCTCAGATTGACACTACCTTTGGTCAAGAGGTTATTTCCAGATTACACTCCTAACAACCAATGCACTCCTCCACCTCCGAACAAGAAAAAGAGACCAGTGACACCGCCTCCATTTCATGTTCCATGTAATTCTATTTTATGGCTTATAGTAAACTCAACGACCCAAACTCTCCAAAGACAAGAGGGATAATTCTAACTTTCCCGTTTGCGTCGAGCAATACTCTATCAGCGCATTTTAATTTGCACAGAAGTTATTTTGATCAAGGTTACGTAAACATTCAAGGCCTTAGTATCAGTTAAACTCGTTGTATGTTAAACATGTGAATGGCAACCGCCTCAGCGGTGTAGTGGTTAAGAGCGTCCGCCCGAGAGGCGGAAGGTCGCGGGTTCGATTCCCGACCGCGTCATACCAAAGAAGACGCTAAAATATATGGTACTTGTTGGTCCCTGCCTGGTGCTCTCGGCATTAATGGGTACAACAACGACTGGTCGGCTTCGGAGTCAGTATATAATGTGTCTGAGTGAGGTATTCATGCTTCACTGCGGCATGGTATCTCAGTGGGCTAGCACTATAAAACCAGCGGTAAAATCTGGGCTGAGTACAAGCAGCTGCACGTACCATCATCGCATGCACGTCGTCATATGAGCGAAATATTCTCAAGTACGACGTTAAACCCAATTTCACTTCACCTCATGTAAGATTTATTTGCAAATTTGACGCATCAGAAAATATGACACCGGATGCAATTTCGTCTTTGATTTATGTTCCTGCATTGTTTTAGGTGAACATCTGATATAGCCCCGTAAGTAGGTCATTACGTTGTCTGTTGTCTTCGGTGACACAGTATTAATACGCAGCAATGTAAAGAACGCGCACTGTTACATGGCACACGACCAAGCTAATCATACTCTCGACATACGCAGCTGTCTGGACTTACAAAACTATCACATGTTACATGCCACAAAACACTTTGACTACGGGTTGCCTTGAATAGCACGTGCATGGCTGTTGTTAATGAATGAATGAGTCTCAAAAATAAACAATGTAATGAATTGGATGATGATATAATAGTTTGTCAGCAATGGTGTCTTATATCCAAGAAATGTTTGATTTTAATAATCCTGAATAGGTGTGTCTCATAAATGTAATCTTATACGAGCTTGATTATTACAACCCCATTTAGCATGTGTTATGCAAAAATACAAACTGGCATCAAAAAGCAACACAAACTGTAACAGATTTTCGACATCTGATGATCAAGCAAATACATTATGTATAAAGAAGCAGCAGCAAGCGTTGCATATACAGTTGAAACATATTTAAAGCAGCATACATCATACCACCGGACACTAGCTTTAGAAGAACGTTCTTGTCATCAACGAGATGAACCTTTACGGACATCTTGGGAATCAGTTCATACTGTTACAGTATGTTTTTCAGGCTTGGCATCTGGGAAATGCGAAGAATATTTCATATTTTGCGAGTAATCGTGACCTTTGAATAAAATTACTGAATAGTTCTGAACTTGTTTAATGTTTTCATACACATGTTGTTGTCAGTCAGAGTCTGCAGTGTTATGACACTGTACACATAGTATATGTACACATTTCATGGTTTCTCTCATAATGAATGACATCTCATGTATTGGTCGGTATCTTTCACAACACAGGACATGTATTTGAGCGGACTATTTCTATTTCCAAGAAGAAAAAGAACATTCATGTACTTATAATACATAGCACACATGTGCAAAGAGCAACACTGTATAAGCAAGCTGTATTGAAGAAATGATTGTTTTATATTATAAAATTATAGGATATCAACGAGCTTCCCTTTCATAGCAAACTTATTTCACGGGGACATAAACTTGATATGAAAGGGGAACGAGTTTTGTATCCCATTTATTACCCACGTTCTAAACAAAATATGAAAATATCGTTAAAATAAAGCTGATATTTTGTTTTCTATAGAGAACCGCACAACGCGGGTTAATACATAATTTTGGTGATTGGAATGTCAACCGCTTCACCCCAGGAAAGTATGCTGCGGAGGGTATTACTTGCAGTTCCTTTAATCTAAGCCAAAAAATGAACAAATTAAGACAGAATCAAGTCAAGCTCAGAATCATCAAGTTTTCATTTGAGGATTTGGTTTCAAATGCAATAATGTAATTCATCAAAACACTTGTAAAGTGTAAACATTTTGAACTTAACTACGTGACCTAAATCTCGCCTGAACGTCAGTCGGCCATCACTGTCGGGCTAGTCGTCTTACTGAGAACTGTTCACAAACAAGCAGCTAAGAGGAAGCACCAGGAGCGGCACACGCAACAGCAGAAGTTGAATGTGAATAGTTGTATGTCTCAAATGGTTGTGGTTTAAGGTTCTTCATCGGAGGACGAGTCACTGTAAATAATACGGACGCCAGTGACGCCTGCTCATCTTGGCTTGGAATTCCCACTTGTCGAGATTCGATGTTTATGTTGAAGACTCCACCGTAAATTGGGCCTGAAAAACATTGCCTACCAACTCGGAATGAAGACGATTTCAAGCGTACCAGTGTTCTGACTCGGAGAAGTGTTTTCAACCCCTGCATGAGAAACCACGGGAGGCATGGCAGTGGCAGTAGAACACATGTTTTGTGCGGGACGACACGTGAACGCGGCTGACAGTGGCAGTGATCCAGATACAAGAGCGCCGCTCATCATTTGATGTTGTGTGTTAGAAACTCCCTGTGCAGTCCTGACAACATACATGCTGAAGATATTCAATGGCCTGATAATATTCACAACTCATCCATCCGGATGTCCGTCAATTTTGACCAAATCATTAACTTAAAAAAAATACGGTCGACGCCATGTTTGTGTACACTCACGGTAGACGTAGTAGAGACGTATTTTGTTTACTTATTTTGATTGTTTTAGTTTCTGCTTTTCATGTACAGAAACTTCTGAGTTATTAAAGGATTGAAAACCTATGCTTGTAACCGCAGTAAAAATATATTTTATTCAATTTCATAGAAGTGTTCTCGTTTACATGCTTTCAGAAGGTGTGAAAACTTCTGAATGAAAGTCACGAATTGAATGAGTGATGAAAGTAGTACCGGTAATGTCAAAGCTTACGTATTAGCCAAATCAAGTCACTCCGAAGGTGTTATGACACATGTTATGAAGCCCCTTACGACGAACTACCACGTGGGTAATATAAGTGTGTGATCATGAATATTCATATGGGTTGGGGTCTTGATATTTTTGTTTCCTATTGTAAGCAAAATAATTGTTTTCATTCCATTAAGACTATTTGTTGAGCTATTGAATGAACTGATATTTATTCAGCATAAATTAGTTTGGTGTTAATATATTTACATGTTATTTATTCAGGATAAATTAGTTTTGGGGTTAATATATTTGCTATGCAGCGCTATGAAAACCATTTGACATGCAAACATCCCTGTCATCCATCCAAAGTACATAAATCATTTTCTGGTCAACTTTTCCATGCAGCAAAACAATATACATCTTGAATATTTCCAGTCGTATTGTTCTTTACTGTTACCCTGAACTTCCATACAGTGATACTTTTTAGACATGGAAAAGTCCATTCGTTTGGTTTTTAAATTACATTTAGCCGTCTTAAATCAACGATAAAGGACCGCAAAATTGAAAACAGAGTAGCTTTATCTCTCTAATTAAGACTAAGGAAAATGTAACATATTGTATAATGTATATCTGTTCATGATTGAAACTATTTTAATTACTCAAGAATGTATGCACATGCACATATACACATGCTTTCTACACTGCATAAAAGCTATTGTCTTCGCTGATCATATATTTATAAAATAGTTCCTTCTCAAATTTAAATATTATTATATAAAAACGTTTTCAATTTTAAATAGTTTACTATAATATTGTTGCAGCATAAAAATAAATTTCTACCACAAAAGAGAACCCTCCTAATTTTAGAAATTACGTACTTTAACTGAATTAGGCATGCCAGTCAATATGGCATAAAAATGAAAAGAACATCAATTTGATAAAGTCCAAGACATGGCTGTTTTATTCATAGCATTACTGTAAACATTCAGTAAATGCAATTTGATAAAATGCATTTTCACGTCAACAAATCCATGTCAGTAAATGTAAAGAAATATATCTAATGGCAAACACGTCCGGACAATAAGAATTATTGGATATCATCATCCCTCACATCTAGCCAGCTTTTTATGACTGTCGCCAACTGTGAGACAGACAAGCGTGGCAGTACACTTGGTCAGGGTTAGTAAATATACTGACAAAATAAGTTAGGATATTGGTATTTTTATGATTGATATTTTATCAGTGTGTCAATGAATAAATAGATCATTATTCATAATTTCAAAATTTACATATATCCCTAACTATTTTTGTCCAGTATACATATTTCACGGTTGCGTTAAACAACAAACGAACAATGTTTATCTCAAGTCTGTAGGGCATATTTCAGCCAATTATTATGTGTAGACAAAATGTTAAGATGCAACATAAATTTTGAAATATGCCTTGTGAAAAACGCGATTGTCTGCGTTATTTTAGACTATTTGTTCATAATTCCGGTACATATGCATGCTTTCACATTGAAATAGATTCTCGTGTAAACATTTAATTTTTTTTTTATCATGTCAGTTCTTTAATATTTATTTTACAAAAATTATGTGTAGGCAATTGCCTTTTGCCCATATGGCAGCTACGCCCTGCTTGTCAAGAAACGATTATACAGGTCACTGGCAATTTTACCACAGCTGTAAACAGGATTGACACGAACAACCAGTGCTCTGTAATCTGGCCAGAGGTCCACTATGAAGTCATAGTCAGTTATCACCGATCGCAGTTTTGAAAGTATTTCACCCTCGAATCCATATCGAACAAGGTAATATTGATCATGTAACATACAATATGTGAGGTGAGGTGAGGTGAGAAGAGGTGAGGTGAGGTGAGGAGAGTGAGGTGAGGTGAAATTGGGTTTAACGTCGTACTCCTGAGAATATTTCGCTCATATGACGACGTGCATGCGTGTATGTGTATGTGCGTCTGTTTGAACTAGCCCAGACTGAAGCTGGTCTTATAGTGCTATCCCACTGAGATACCATGCCGCAGTGAAGCATGAATACCCCACTCAGACACATTATACTGATTCCGACCAGTCCTTTGTTGTACCCATTAATGCCGAGCGCCAGGCAGGGACCAACAAGTACCATATTTTAACGTCTTTGGTTTGACGCGGTCGGGGATCGAACCCGGACCTTCCTCTCTCTCCGGGCGGACGCTCTAACCCATACAATATATGTGCAATATGTAGAATTTGTATTGTACTCAGTGTAATACCAAATTTAATGAGAAAATCACTGTTAAAATATCCAGATAAGAAAACTTGATTCCATGTAACGATAGAAATCAATACATTCAAGCATCACGTTTTACCGTGATTTGAAAGAATCATCACAAGGGATACTGAATGGCGGTTCAGCACATCTTGCAAAACATTACCAGTGGATGTTAACATGACATGTTATTTTAGCCCGAAGGCTAAAGAAAATAGTATGAATGGCTTATATTATGGCTGTTTACTGGCTTTATTGGGGCTCTTAATATGATATAGTCCTCGATACAACAACGGTGGCACTGACAACTTTGTCACCATCTTTGTAAATATATATATGTAAGTATCGTTTGTTAGTATTTCTGGTTGATTAATTGATTCAGTAGTTTCAAATAGCTTTACTTTCGCTGAATTACTGCAGTAGAAAAAGAAAAGCTAAGGCTACAGTTTAAGTTATAGTTTAAGCATAGGTTTAATATAAGATTCATTTTAGCAGCAGAAATATTTGATTGTATTCTTATTCTAAGGTGGAAATAGATATCAGCCATACTGCACATTCTTTAACACGAGGATTACGCAACAGCCAAACACACATTGATTGCATTTCTTTAGATCCCTTTATTAGTTTGAGCAGAGACCATATAATAGGGGACGGCCCTCAGCCAATGCGCAAAACCATCAGCGCTATTATATGGTCTCTGGTTTTAGGTTGAAACAACTCTAATAGTTCAGTTGATATCAGGCATGTATTCTTTACAGCTCAAGATAGTTCGAATCATCATTCGCCTAAATGGTTGATATGGCACTGTATTGAAACTCTGCTATGTTTTGACAATAGTTGACACTCGTTGTCTGCACCATTGTAGACGTTCAGCTTCGTGACGTTGTGTCAAGACATTACGTCGTACTGGTCTTCTGGCAAAAGGTCCGGCTTCCCGTAGCCGATTGCGCACTGTCTGGTCGGAGATTCGCTGAGATTTGGGTTGTTGTGGATGTTGCGGTCGTGGTGAGTGAATGGAGATGTCTCAACCGGATGTAGCGATCCTGGGCGGCGGTGGTAACTCAAGGTCGACCTGACCTGGGTATGTCATAAACACTCTCAATATTGTTGTATCGGGTCAATGGTCCTGGTTTGAGATAGTGTGTCTGGACACGCCGAAGTGCCTTGCCACCTCATGCTGCGATGCCCTTCCTTGTAAAGGGCCAATGGCGTTGTGTTGTTGAGCTTCTGGCAGTCTTTTTGTACTCTATAGTGGCTTAAAGCAATGCATGTGGAGTACCGCTGATGTGGCGCTTTACGTGCATTTCATGTAGGGTGTGTTTTAGCGATTCACTACAAACGTGAATGAAACGTTACGTTATTGTTCAACCTGTAACAGGAGGATCCTGTTTCGGGTCCTCAGGTCCGCAGGATTCAGGGGTTTAAAAGTCACAATGACAATCCCGAACACAAGATTTTGCAAACCAAATATATTTTATTTCCAACTCAACTAATATATATCATAAAATCAACAATAAACTAAGTTAAAGAAACAACAAAATAATAATGCCTCCAAGGGTCCTAAGAAAAGTGAAAACCCTATTAAATATACCTATTCTATTGCCCCTTATTCCCACTGAATTCCCCCCAAAATAATGTTCCTGCAAAATAAAACAAAAATTAACTACCTAACATTATCTAACCAAAACTTAAACTGAAAGAACTTAAAACTCTGTTTGCCTAGTCTACAGAAACAATAGTGAATTTCTCACCTTTCTAGCCTCTGTAAGACCCCTGAGTGCAGAAACAAAATTATCTGCCATTTTATACCCCTAACCTATAACTCTTACCCAATAAAAACCATACTCTGAAAATTACCCAATAAATGCCTACAAAAGACAATTTCAGTGGACTGATCCCATTGCATAACAATGGGGAAGAAGCATACTAGGCACATGCCTAGTGGGTCCTTACCCCTCAAGAGCTAAATGGACCAGCCCACTGAAGCCTAAACCTGGTGTATTATTTTTAGCCTAGCCTTTGCCTAACCCCGTCCCAACCCTAAAAACAAGCATAATTTCTACTAAGAAAATAACCCTACCATTACAAACGTTTTTGTTCTTTCTTCAAAACGTTTTGTCGTCGGCAACCATTCCTCCACATGTTGGAATTCAACATGGATTGGTTTGTGCCAAATATTTTCCTTAAATTCAAATTGTTCTATGGGTTTCTTTTTTAAGAGTATAGAAAACCGTACATTAAACGTTTACGTCTACGATGATTTTACGCCTGATTTACACACATGATTTGCCTTCGGGAATGTTTTATAGAGTTGTTAAAGAGAGCGCTGGAGCTGTCGTTGTTGAGGTAGATAGCCATCCCTAATATGTACAAGTGAGCCTTTCATACATAACAATATTCATCG